TTATACAGAAACATGGTTCTCTTGTCTTCCTAGGGCTATGGGTACAGCTTTAGAAGCCACCTGAATTCTTCCTCAAACTATAAAGGTGATAACCTTTGCTTGAAAAATAATTTTCCATTTAATCATGCACTGCGTAACCTTTCCTCAGTGAACATTGGCAGAACACACTTTTACAGAGTAATCATATACATGAATACCCAGGAGTATGTCCTGTTGAATTCAGTAGGGCTTATCCCCAGATGAGTGCATATAGATTGCAGCTTTAAAGTATTGAGCCAACCCCCTCAACTAATAGATAAACATTAATGAGGTGTTTAGTTATCAGCGACATGAATCTTCTCATTTCACATTCCTCCTCTAGCTGATTTACATATCTTTAAAAAATATTCCTTTTTCCTGCCAGTGATTTCCAGGCTTTCATAAATAAAAGAAGCTGAAGGCAAGGTGTCCTGTTCTGCAGAATAGTTAATACACTTAACTGTAAAATATTGATTTAAGTTTCTCAGGAGACACTAAGCCTTTAAATAAATGCAGTGGCTAAGATTATAACAGTGAGTTCTTACATAAGGTGGGCATCTAGCAAGGGCAAAGGGTGATAAACTAATGGGGGGAAAATTGGACAAAATCTACCCTAAAATATGCTGAGCAGTTGGTTCTAAAATTGACTTTCTTGTCTCGCAAGCAGTCTTCCTTGACTCTGCTTTCTGGAACACAGCACTATAATTTGTACTACCCAGTTCTCCAAAGGAGAGTCAAATTTTACCAAGGCTCAGAAGTGAAGACTTTTTAGCTGACAACAGAACTGGGAAAACTGCAAGTGGGTGACCAGTTCCCTGGGAATACCTAGGGAAGATTACGTGCCACCAAAATACCATAAAACAGTGCAGGAATTTGTGCTCAAATGCAGCAATACTGTAGCCATTTACCAGGCAAATCGATGAAATATATTTTCAAGCACATGGATATAAGGCCGGGGTAGTGTAGCACCCTAGAGTGGGATATGGGATACCTAGGTTCAAATCCCCCTCCCCTTGGTCATGAATCACCACTTTAAGATGGCCATATTCTCTCTGGCCTAACTCACAAAAAAGCAGGGAATGAATGAATGAATGAATGAATGAATGAATGAATGAATGAATGAATGAATGAATGAATGAATGAATGTCCCAACAGTGTATTAGCTTGGATTACCAAGAGTCTTACCTCAAGAAACTGCTATGTGACTTATCCCAGTTCAAATGATACATTAAATGCTCAGAAGCATTTGGATCATGTCAAGCACACACTGTCAGCCATGGCTACAGGAAAGGCACAGATACTCCCAAAATTTCTTGGCCTTACTGATTTCTGTTTTCTGTCACTGTATATTCACCTGCCATCAAAGGAAGAACATCTGTCACACCACATTCTTCCATTTAAAGAAAAATGTGATTCCAATTTTCTGCTCTCCATATGCCATTTGCCAAGGCACTTTGGTCTTTCAGGCTTACTCATACCATCTCCCTGTCACAAGCATCTTGATTTTTATACAACTTCGCATGGCAGGAGCCAATCCTCACACGATCGCCTGCAGCCATTTTTTTTTGCCTCACAGGTTGTTTTGTCAATGTACATGTATACTTGTATACTTTGATAAAACATCGTCAAATCCCCCCAATAATGTATTCAACCCAGAATCTGCCTCCTACGGATGGGCTCCTTCTCCCCACAAAAGACTTGTTATGTGGCAGAAAAATCCTTCTGGCAGAATAAAGATGGCAGAAATGTTCCCCCTACTTCTGAAGCTCCCTGCACTGTACTAGTCACCTCCCTGGACAACTCTGAATAATTGAGTAACTGTTCAGAAAAGTGTGAGAGCTGTCGCTAAAGACTACAGAAAGAGAGGGAAATCAGCAGAGATCTAGTTGTCACACATTCATCTGCTATTAATAGCATTCTGAGCATTGAAATGGTGCTAGTACTGATGGAAGAATAGTCTGGATCCAAAACAAGGTGATTTTACATATACTGTAATTGCAAAAGTTATTTTTTGAGGGATTTTTTTAAAGTAATGGCCCAAATCCTGTTGTTTCATGAAATAAACTGCAGTAGAGTAGGTTCTTTGAATCTCATGCAGTGACCAAAATCCTATTGCTCTGTGTAGTAAAACAGACTGCCCAAATCCTGTTGTTTCATGAAATAAACCGCAGTAGAGTAGGTTCTTTGAATTGAGGATATTTGGTGAGTTAATTCCTCTGTAAGTTCCTTTTATCAGCTTCCTACACAAACTGTGATTTAATATGCTAAAGCAATTCACAATTAGAGTAGGCCCGTTTGAATCAATGGAACACATGAGTTAACTCACCAGATCTCTATAGATTTGATGGGCCTAGCCTAGTCTGTTTTACTACACATAGCAATAGAATTTTGGTCACTGCATGAGAGTGTATCTAGGCTTTAACAAAGTCCTATACGCCAAAAATACCTCAACACAATTATGGGCCCATATCCAGGTTGCTTTTTGTTTTCAGTCCTTCATCAATATGCACATGTGTGTCAGTAGTGCAGAAAGAGAGACAGAAAGATTCACAAGAACAAAGGAACTGAGCACTTGAACTGTTTGTGTACAATTAGTTAATTAACTTAAATAACTGGTTCCATCCCTCTCTGTATGTTTGCATTCAGTGAAATACACTTGCAGAGCAGCATTCCTAACCATGGGTGCCCCATGAAATCAGCTAAATGCATGGAAAGTTTTTTTGTATACCTTTGCACTCTATATGGAAAGCTCTATGAGGTAGCTTGGGGGTTGTTTGAGTATAGGGCATGTCTTCTCTCATCCACTCCCACTTTAACCTCATATGTGATACAAGGAAACTAAGATTCTAGTTACACAGGAATTCAGGAGGACTACAGGGTAGGGAGGAAACAAACAAAAACAGAATGGGAAGAAATCACCATTCTTTCAACAAAAAAGATGCTCTGATTCTGTGTACTGTGCCTAGAAATATGTACAAAGGACCTTGCAATGTTCTCTACTTAATTTCTCTTCAGAAAGATACATTGCGACCATCCCTATCAGCAGGGAATAATTACTTAACAATTTCTGGAGTGGGGCTCACCATTAGCACAACCCTCCTCTTCTCTCCTTTTCCTTTCTCTTTTTTTGGGTCGGTGGGTGGGTGGGAAGGAATTACACAATTTTTGTGGGTTATGTGAAAACAGGTGTAAAAGCACCTCTTTTATACAACCTGTTTTAATGTGTGGTGTGTTTTTTGGTAGTAAAGCAGGATGTGCAGCAGCTGCAGGCCTGTCAGCCAGTGCTCGGAAGCTTCCTGCGAAATACCTCAACACAATTATGGGCCCATATCCAGGTTGCTTTTTGTTTTCAGTCCTTCATCAATATGCACATGTGTGTCAGTAGTGCAGAAAGAGAGACAGAAAGATTCACAAGAACAAAGGAACTGAGCACTTGAACTGTTTGTGTACAATTAGTTAATTAACTTAAATAACTGGTTCCATCCCTCTCTGTATGTTTGCATTCAGTGAAATACACTTGCAGAGCAGCATTCCTAACCATGGGTGCCCCATGAAATCAGCTAAATGCATGGAAAGTTTTTTTGTATACCTTTGCACTCTATATGGAAAGCTCTATGAGGTAGCTTGGGGGTTGTTTGAGTATAGGGCATGTCTTCTCTCATCCACTCCCACTTTAACCTCATATGTGATACAAGGAAACTAAGATTCTAGTTACACAGGAATTCAGGAGGACTACAGGGTAGGGAGGAAACAAACAAAAACAGAATGGGAAGAAATCACCATTCTTTCAACAAAAAAGATGCTCTGATTCTGTGTACTGTGCCTAGAAATATGTACAAAGGACCTTGCAATGTTCTCTACTTAATTTCTCTTCAGAAAGATACATTGCGACCATCCCTATCAGCAGGGAATAATTACTTAACAATTTCTGGAGTGGGGCTCACCATTAGCACAACCCTCCTCTTCTCTCCTTTTCCTTTCTCTTTTTTTGGGTCGGTGGGTGGGTGGGAAGGAATTACACAATTTTTGTGGGTTATGTGAAAACAGGTGTAAAAGCACCTCTTTTATACAACCTGTTTTAATGTGTGGTGGGTTTTTGTTTTTTTGTTTTTTTTGGTAGTAAAGCAGGATGTGCAGCAGCTGCAGGCCTGTCAGGCAGTGCTCGGAAGCTTCCTGCTACCCTGTTTCCCCAAAAATAAGACAGGGTCTTATATTAATTTTTGCTTCAAAAATGCATTAGGGCTTATTTTCAGGGGATTTTTTTTTCATGTACAACCATCTACATTTATTCCAATACCGTCATGTCATCTTCTTCTGGTTGCCGCACAATGGTGGAGGGCAGGGCTTCACTTAACTGGGGCTTATTTTTGGGGTACGGCTTATATTACCACCATCTTGAAAAATCATACTAGGGCTTAATTTCAGGTTAGGTCTTATTTTCAGGGAATCAGGGTATTACTGACAAGGCTTGCCCACTCAAGATGCAGTAGAAATGGAGCCACTGGAACTGCCCCCTGCTGGCAAGAACAACCTTGCCAGCTGGCCAGTACTGAGGGCAGTAGCAGGCCTTCCAGCATTGGCACAGCTCCAGTGGTTCCATTCTTGCCACACATCAAGTGAGTGAGGACTGCCGCTCCTACTCCACCACTGCCCATAGCCAGGAAGCCTCCCAACACTCACCAGCCAGCAACAGACGCCTCGGTGTGGTTTTATAAAGTGATCAGTGGTGCCATTTTTTAACCGCACAGTGGACCACCATCTTGCAACCTCAACAATGAGTGCCTTGACCTTAGCCTCATTTCCAAGTAAAATGATGGAAAAAAATCCTGGAGGATATTCTCCAATAGGGTCTTCCTTTCCTAGGGGCATTGATGGGAAGGAGTTTTGTAAAAATGTCTCGTGAGTAACTTTGACTCTGGAATATTGTGCACACATCTGGTTTTCACTGGGCCTGTCTCCCCCCCCCCTGTTTGTTTGTAAAGACACCACTTGGACAATCGTTCAGCACAATAACACAGAGTTAACAAGAGTCAAAAGTGCTAATCGAGAGAACCCCCACACTGTGTTCTTCAAATATGCTGCCAGCTCAGAACAGCTTCAGGCTACAATTAACCATGCAGAACGCTGTGAACAGGAGCTTGCTTACCACTGCAAAAAGTCACGGCTTTCAAATAAGCAAGGTAAGTAATGCAGACATTATGATACATAATGCGTTATACACAACAAACCGCTGTAGATGTTTCATGCTGCCAAGGTTATGGCATCTTGCCACGATAGTTTGCTTTTGTTTTTCTTTAAAAATAACTTTTTAAAGATTTAACAAACAAATCCCTAACCTATGAATTGCTGAATCGCTTCTGAACCAGAAAAGCATCAAGGTCAATTTATAATGAGCCTCACTCAAAGCATTAACTACTTTCAAACTCAATTTCTTTCTTCACCCTACTGTTTAGCAGAAATTATAACAAGCCTCCTTCCTGGCCTGCATGTGAAAGGCTTAACAAATTGTTGTGAGTAAATGGAATACTGAAACCTAATAAAATATAATTGATTTATTAAATAAAAATATTTCTGCTTTTCATGATGAAGGACTTGTCAGTGTGAATTGTGTATAAAGAATGCAGAAAATGCAGGGGGAGCATTCCAAAACATTGTTTTTAGGAAAGTTAATTGAGATTGTGTTGGTTTTGAAAACAATAAACATACTTGTTGCATGCAGTTGTTAAGAATAAACCGCTATGTAAATATTGTAGTTTACTATGGAAGCCAACAATCTCCTTGCAGTTCAAAATATTTGATTAACTTTTAGAGAATTGGTCCATCACCGACCATTAAATGCTTGATTGTAAAGAAGGTGTTTTTTTTTCTTCTGTTTCCCTATATTTTGGCTCGGTTTGGATTTCATGATATAGGGTGGATATATTGTACTTTTGCAAATGGAACTGATGTTTCTGGAAGACCATAGAATCAAAGACTTGTAGAATTATAGAGTTCTAGAGACTCTGTGATCATTGAGTCCAGTGTCCCTACCTAAGTAAGAAATGCAGTAAGATGTAAGTAGCAGAGTTTAGAAAGGGTCTTTTTCATTCATTTTTTTTTTTTAAAATATAGCACCCATAATCTCCCCTGTGCACTCTCTGCAGGCAGCTTTACAAAGTCCAAGGATTGCTAGAACTGTAATATTTACCCAGGACCTTTGCTTTATACATCTATGATCTCCTGTTGAACAATGGGTGCCTTCGCTCATTGGCTAAGTACACGGATAGGACTGTTTCTCACAAGACTGTCTAAGAAGTAACTGCTCATTTTGCCTTATTTCTCTGGTTCTATAAGTTCCAGAGGCTTACCTTAAAAAAGAAAGCAAGAAAACTAGCCTATAGGCCAGATGATGAATGAAACAGGCACTGGGTGACAGGTCTAAACTCCATACAAAACCTGCCCAGTAGGCTAATGCAGCAACCCTTGTCCTGTAGACTCAGAGATTTATAAGTTCATGAGTTTTTAGTGATCTAATAAAAATATCATCCTTCCAAAAGCATATATGACAAGTGCAACTTACTGTTTGGATAAAAGTAGGTATTCATTGTACCAAGTTCCTGTATCAAAAGCTGCAAATGATCTCTCAAAAGATTTAACAAGCTAATGTTTCTAAATAATAAACACAGGTGTATTTTGCCAGAACATAAACTGATGAAAATCCATCACTTTCCTTTCATCTCATAGTTAACATTCACAGCCAGACCAAAACCCTGACTAATCACTGCTTATTTATAATCCTTTAATAGTATTACCAGACTCACATCAGCACACAAACAACAGCTTCAGGTTTTCTTTTCCAGATAACCTGGTGGATTCATCTAACAAAGCCCCAAAATATTTATGCATAAACATCATTTTGTATCATCCAGGGTTGGAGATGCAGCTAAATCACATATATTTTTGTGGTCTTGATTTGCTTATTTATTTAAGCTCACATTAAGTTGAATCGGGGGAGGGGGGAATAGATCTAGTACTATTCACGCTGCTGATGAAAAACAAACAAACTATTGAAGTTAGAATTTTGAAATTCGTCACTCAGCAGACAGAAAGCCTTCATGTTTTGGGGATTTGCCTGAGTGACTGTGTGACTTTTACCACGTGGCCCCTGCTTGTTTCACCAAACAAAGAGCTCACGCTACATATCCCACCAGCTGCCACCAATTGTGATGCACCCCTCATGTCTCCCCAGGTTGTTTCACTAGCCTAAGGCCTGCGACATGTTCTCTCCTCTCTGCTGCCACCAGTTGACCTCTGTCAACATCCTTTAATTAGAAAGATTGAGGTCCAAGATGAGTATAAAGCTGAATAACACAGGCTTATTGATTACAATTCACTTAAACAGGTTCTTCACAGATTTTAATGTATTCCTTTGATTAGTAATAACTTGTTTCACTCTTAACTCTCTTAACTTTCTTAGCTCTCTATAAGTTCCACACTCTTAGCTCCTAACTCTGCCTCACTCTCTAACTACCACAGACTAACTTCTACTTCAGTCTCTCTTCTCTGACTCTAACTGAACTCCCCAGACTCTGACTCACCCCTCCTTTCTAGTTTCTCTGGCTCCACCTCCCAGTAGCTCCCATTGGTGTATGCAAATAACCTCCTACTTGAGCCAAAGCAGGGTGATCATCACAGACTGTAAGCCAACTAATTAGGCTTCATAGTGCAGAAGAAGGGTGTATTTATT